GAAAAATATTTCGTTTCGCCGGGATTAATCAGATACACTTTTATTCAATTTGTTTTCCATTGAATTTGCAGTAAACGAATGCAAAAAACATTTTTCTATATCGCACGTTATTTGTCGCGGACGGCAAATATCACGCGACTTTTTTAATAAGCCACTGGTGCGTGAACGAAATAATGATTTTACAAACGAGTCGATTTGTTATCCCTGCGATTTTTCGCATGGAAGCTTTTCACAAAATGGATGATAGTTAGCGAGAAAATAATTGCGAACGATCTATATTTCCGTGTAGTGAATAAAACGGAATGGGTGTCTATATCGATGGACGCGTATAATCATTAGTGTGATTACGGTTTCTATCGTTTATTTATGAAAATTCTGACGTCTCGTTTGCTCAATTTGTCGCTTGCATAGCGAACTGTCGTAATCAGAATTAATCTGTCACAATCAGAACTGCAATTTTCATCTACAGAAAAAATAAATTGTTTCGTAGAACCTTCTTCCATATTTTTATCTATTATACATATCTATATACTTATTACTATTATACGTATCTATATACTTATTACTATTAAAATTATAAAATTTAAAATAGAACTGAAATAAAATTTATCTTAGTGATTTAAAATTTTTTTAAATATGTAGAATAAAAAGCTTAAAATATTTTGAATTTTTATTAAATCTGTTCTTAGATCTTTTATTTAAAAAATGAAGACAACAATAAGAAATGTACGATCGATATATATGCATGGAATTATAACTTCTTTTATTAATAACTATTATTTTATTATAATTATACAATTTACTATAAAACAAGATCAAATATAAATATTTAATTTTATTAAAATACTTTTATAATATTAAGATTAGAACAGGATTGTTTATATGAGTACATCAACTAAGCAAGAGAAAAATGTCAGATATATATGTATATATATGTATGTACGTATAACTTTTTAGGCACATTGTAAGGACATAAAAATATTATCGTGATGTACTTCGTGCGATAAAAGAAAGAAAAAAGTACACGTTGATGACATTGTGGTAAAGTAACTTTCGCAATTTTTTCCCGCAATACTTTCGCTTCCTCCGAACTTCTGGTTTAGTGGCTCCACACACGCAAAAGAGATACTCGAACCCACGAGTACTCTTGCATCATTTCGCATTCTCGGTAAATACAGTTTAACGAAGGGGATGAGCGATGAAGGAATGATAGACGTTACGTGGGTCATTTGTTTGGTGAGCCCAAACAAGTGTAGGAACACATACCGTTAATTATTCAATTTTCCGAGAGTTATTTATTCTGATTAGCGATGGTGGCAAATCGGGAAGAGGAATAGGTGTCTTTAAAATGTGATAGAGCCAAATTATCTACTAGAAACGTATAAGATTAGATTTTTAAAGAATTTTATAAAACCTAGATAAAAATAAGCATTTCTGAAAGAAAGTAAAAACGCCTTTAATGCATAATTAATATTACATTTGTTAGAAAGTGCATATGAGTTCCTCTTGTTTCTCCAAAATGTCGAGGGAAATGTTTTAACAGCTATAGTTCCGATCGAGTAACGACAGCAGTTAATCATACACTACGTCAAACTTCAACTGTATTCGTACCCTCTCATCTATTCTACGTATTCATCGAATTACCCAGCTAACTTCTGAATGTACCGCATTTACATGTCTGTACTTCGCGACGTGTTAATTCTTGCGGATGGCACGGAAATCTGGAACAAAGGGACCGACCGCGTAACATGGGTTTCTCTTCGCTGTTTCCTCTTCGTGCTCTCTTTTTTCCCTCTCTCTCTTTGAGTTATCCATCTGCTCCTTGTCTTCTCCAACTCTTCTCTGGAATCTAGGCTGTTACCGTGGCAACACAGGTACAGGGCACTGAAGACTTCACCGAAGGCCACCGGACGAGAAGAGGGAAGAAAACGCAAAGATTCCTTCCTTCTCGCCCTTTAGCTTTCGTATGTCTTGCTGTCCTTGTTCAGCCATTTCCTCTTCATCTTCCGTCTCCGTCTCGCCGATCAGATGTTCGAAAAAATCAATAAGACTCTCCCTGCTATCTCGTTCCATCTCCTTCTCTTTCTACAGCACGGTCCTCTTTATTTCGCCCTGTTCCTTTCTCTCTCTCGGCTCCAATGCGACACTTTGCGTCACGCATTGAGAGGAGAGCCGCTACAACGAGAGGAAAGTGGCACGCGGGGAATAAAGGGGGTAGAATGACTCAGAAGGGTTGAATGCACACGTGGAACGCTTCGTTGAGGCCACCGAGTATCCGGCACAGCTGATCGCACGAACATGTAGGTACTCGTGTCTCGAGCTGCTCCTGCGCGACCCGACATCTCGAAGGCGAACATCGATCCTTCGGTCGAAACCTTCCAACGTGGATACACGTTGCCACGAGCTACCCTGAGAATATAATAGACAAATTATTTTGTTGCCTCGAAAATTGAGATGTGAAATAACACATAATACAGGATGGAAATAAGAGGGATCTTATTTTAAATATAAGCTCGGTTTTTCTTTATTAGAATCCAGGATATTTTCTATCCGAAAATACTTAGAATTTTCAAGGAGTTTCTTCTGTATCCTTGAAAATCAGGAATTTTCATGGTATTTTATTGGTATTTAAGAAAATTCTTGAAATATTTTATTTTTAAATTTATGTTTTGTCTCTTTCTGAAAACATCATTTTTTTTTATCACTTTTTCTTGATAATATAAATATATATATATATATAACGAGAGGAATAATAAATTTTAAAAAGACATTTTGATTTCTTATATTTAACGTGGATCAAATAAAGTTATTTGATAAGAATTTCGATACAGATTCAAGTAGTTCAGAAGTTCAGATAAAGCATACTTATCGTTTATCTCAACCGTACAATAGCGTTGCTTGTTCGACTTTCTGCTGAATTATTTCAGGAACTGAATTCCTCTACAAATAGCATGTTTTGGCGAGCGAACTTAGAAAGCGAATCAAAGTTACAGATTACGCATCCGGAAAAAAGACAAAGAGAAACCTATAACGTTAATGGATAAATCTGTTTCCTGGCGAAATTAGGGTAATTAACAGACCAACCCAAAGGAGTGAATGCGGATGAATCAATGAGCGCGAAGAGAGTTTTAACTTCAAATCCGGTTCACTCTCTGGTGCCATTTACCACCGTTGTACATTGTAATAAACACGATTCTGTGTACGAGGACCCTGCATAGTTATTCTATGCTACAACCGCGTTGTGTATCGTGACTAACTGAAAGATACACGTTATTTTCTCCGCCCAACGACACGGTAATACTACCGCCTTCAGGAACAAACTGTGCTTCGCGGTAGTCCTCGGTAGTTCGTAGCGGTTGTCTGACGGACCGGTGCGCTTAATTCCCACGGGCAGCAATGGGAAAGAAGCTATGCTTGACAATAACCGACTACCGTTTTATTGGGTGTCCCAGAACTGTCGCAGGGTGGTCGCGCGGCATTACTTCTTGCAAAGTTTTGACGCAAATTATCCTTAATAAAATATTTCTCGAATTGAAAGCTGAAAACTACATCAGATATGCGAATTAAGCTCTGCCATTGCAAAAAATATTATCTATGTCACTGTCTTAAATTGAATATTCTTTTAAATAAATTCTAATTTGATGTCTGAAATACGAATTAATGAAATTTAGAAAGTTGAGAGAAACGATGACTTGTGTCATTTTTTCTGTATATAACTAGTTATAAGTTGCGCGACCAGAAAGATTAGAATTATGTTTATTAGAAAGAGGACTCAAAATTTTTATTTATTTCAAACTTCCGTTATAAATCTTTCAAAAATATAAAAATGGAAACTGATCCCAAATACGCAGATAATTTTTTTGAAGATTTTTTAAATCATGATTTAGCCAGTCCCAGTCCAGACGTTTATTTACACAACTTATATATTTCGTTAAGCGCTTTAAATCCTGTTATTCTTGTCGAGTCTACCTTTCACTCGATGACGACTTTGTATATTCAAGGGAATATTATTCTATTGACTCACTTATCATCTTCTGTCTTAACGGCTATTAGTAGGATGACTTGCGCTATTGGTCCCGTTAGTCAATTTTATATAATTATTTTAACTGCGGTCAAATATCAAATTTGATTTATACAAGTGTAATTTATCGTTTCTAGAATGAGAAAATTGAAATTGATAATTTGATATTCTTTGAAATTAGATTTTGACGATAAAATTAATAAATATTACGATAATATTTGAAAAATATAATTTCTGTTTGATATTTTTTATATTAAATGCTAAATTAAGATATGCACAAACATTAAATAGCTTATTCATATTATATCATTTCTTTGTAACTAAAATATTTCTAATGGCGTAATGAAAAATCTAACTGTTTTATTTAAGATATTTATTTATTCAAAATTTTAAAATAATTCAAAATATTTAAAATCAAAATTTACGATTAATGTTACGACTAACATCAAAATAACTTTTTAATTAATATTACCCAATTTTTATATCTTTGTGTGATGCATGCAGTTTTGAATACTTATTTATATATATGACTTTCTATTTAAAAAAAAATAATATATTCTTGTCAAAATTTTCTTAAATATATAAATGTAAGTAAAATTATCATTTTATATCTTTCGTTTGTTGCACTCTTTTATAGCATTATTTTATTATTTTATGTTATCTTAAATGAGTAATATAATTTGCGTCTCTGATCGTAGAAAATACAGAAAATATTGTCGCATTTGTGTAAGTAATATCTTGATATCGAACTCATTGTGTCGCCGATAAAATTAATTTGAAATCATAAATTCACTTATCACTTTTTGAACAAACAATATAATTCGCATCTCCAGTCGTTGATTGCGGCAGAAAATATTGTCATATTTGTGCAAATTATATCTTCATATCGAGTTCTTTCACCGATAAAACTAATCTAAAATCGCTTATCTCTGGATTAAATCAACATGTTTTGACGTATTCTTGTTCTTTTATGTTGCAGGTCAGTATGCTCTGATGCCGGAAAGAATCGTCCATGAAATGGGTAAATAATGCATTTAAACGAATTATCGCTTGAACGATCTTTATACAAAAGAAGGCAAATATTAGTTTTAATTTGATTTTAAATTGAAGATATTTTAGAAATATTTAAATATATAATGTAAGAGTATAATCGTTTTTTAGAATACTATTTATCGAATTATGTTGGATCTTTTATAGTTGAGAAGATTCGATTATGCGAGCGTGACGCAAAAACTTACAATCATCCGCGCATTTTACAACGTGCAATGAAGCGTCTTACATCACATTAACGGCAATCCCTTAACATTTTACGGATGGTCGCATCGCGGTTTTCTATTCGGTAATGTGCGGCAGCGATTAGTTTCCGATGGCGATTGTTAGGCAAGCGAATGGAACGAAGGGTCTAGTGCACATAAAAACAATAAGTTCGCCTGGAAAACGTGTTACGAGAGATATAGATGTATAAAATAGAGTATTAAAATACAATAGCACGAGTAAATAGCACTTCGCTTCACATCGAATGAGGATAAAAAGCAGCAGTTTAATATAGTGTCATTTGCGCGAAAGTTGCATTTTCCTCCTTTGGAGAAACAAAAGATTTCGTGAAAGTATATAACGTGAAATCCGGGGACCGCATTGTGATATTTCTTTACGGTGTTGAAAAGAAAGGAAGAAGAAGAAGAAAAAGACATAACAAAAAAAGTATAACAGAAAAGGAAATAACAGAAGTTTCAGAAAAAGAAATAACACAGTGTTCGTTCTAATTTATATTAACAATGTATTTAGTATGTAAGGAATTATTTGATAACTGCTTTTCTTTGGAATTCACGAAATTATGTTTGTTGATTACTTTCCCAATGCTAGATAATTTAGAAAGCTTTCTTCGCTGTAGCGCCGGACGTCGTTATCACTTCCGTTGTTTAGCTTCATTTTCCTTTCTCTAAATGTGGAAATTGTTCATTTTAATCCATTCTCCAATGTACTCTATTTCGCCTATAATTTCTTCTCACAATAAATGAACCACGAGAGATTTGTCTTCGAACATTTTGAGCTTTCCGCTATTGCATACATCAGAGCCTGCAATTCACTCTGAAAACACGATCGAGCAGAGCCAAGGGTGATAGTCACGTCCGGTTAAATTATGTAAACTTGCATAATCTTTCGACTGCACGCCTGGTCGTGTCCTTCCAACGATACTTGGTTAACCCTTTCGCTGCAATATTAACCCCATAAAGTTCGAACATAACACAAAGCATCGTTTTCATTTCTAGCTATTTTATTTCTAAATCTACATATTAATTTTTATTCACATTTATTAATGGAAAATTTTATATTTGAACAAATACAATAATGGTAGCCACAAAATCCAAACAGCAAAAAAGAATTAAATATCATGAACGTTGTTTAGTTATAATATATGAAAACAATTGTGAATATATTTTCCTATTTAAAATTTATGAATTATTAGTATTATTATGTAATTTTGTTTTATTTTGTGTTGGAGATATCTAGAAATTTAAAAGAAGTAAACACCCGATAAGGTCGTACTGCGATTGTGACATATTGCGACCGATTGTTCGCTTTTGCTACGCTCTCTTGAGATCAAAGTCCAAAAAAGACGACTTTCGTCCCGACATTTTTTCTGATAATTCATCCCGTAGCCCGAAACTATTAATTTCAACTCTACCTTGTGTTTGTATTATACTTTTCATGGTTCGCGTTCACCGCAATTAGAGAACGGTACTTTTGAGCGGGTCAATGCATCCGTTCGAGATCGTCGAGCGTGCTCAGAAACAAAGGAGTCAGATTTCACGCTTTTGTGCCAATGTTTCCGGAATAACGTTCGCAGCACATGCATTAACTTTTTACTTCCCTTGACAAGGCGAGGTGTTCTACTACTCTACTTGACCTTTTCTACGCAAAAGAATTCTCCTTAGGGAGAATGGAATTTTCTTAAAACGGTAGTAAAAGTTGTCTCATCCATAACAGAATTAGGGATTGCGGAAATATATAGGAAGACTTCGAATTGAGATAAATAAAAGTAGGATTTTTATCGTTTATGTGATTTTTAGTTGAACTTTTAATTTGACGTTTGCTTAGAAAGATATTCAATTGGAATTTAACGAGACAGGTTAATAAAATATTTACTAAAGAAAGATGGGCAGGAAATAGGTCAAAGAATGACAGCAGCCCGGGAACATGAATGTCTGGACACGTCGTAAATTGAAACGTAAGATTCTCGTTTCAATCCTCAGGAGCAGCTATTTTCTCTTTAACAAAGGAACTGTTACGTTCCATCCAAACTATTGTAATCAAAAGAAATGTGCGCTTTTTTAACAATTCTCAGGAAATTGATACATTGATAATTCAGTTATTAAAAGCAATCAAAACTCTTTTTATGGAGCCTATTGTTAGAATCTAATAAACTGCTTAAATTTTTGTAGAATTAGAGCTTGAGAAGGAGGAAGAGAAAGAGAGAAACATCGAGACCGAGACCAAACATTCATTAAGTTACGGTTACATTTAACTAATTGGTGAAACTGGATTTTAATAGTCTAACGATCGTCATTAGAAGTATCTTGCTTGATTATTTCAGCCCGCTATTACGGTTAGACCGCTATTATGACTGGTCGCTGTGAAATCACGAGATAAACATCAAACAGTGTGTAAGCAAATTTATACCTATGCAAATCATCGAGTTTAATTCGAGCAAATGGTAAATATCGAATCAGATGCAGTTTAACTATCATAACTAGAATACGTTGGCACTATCGACATCCCCGCGAATGGTTCCCTTCGTGATCGCGAACAAACAAAGGTTTTACAATCAAAGGATTTGCGTATCCAGGCTTGAATACGGCTTATTTAAACAGGTTAACCGGATTAATGTTGCTTGTACTAACTCGCGTGATGATAGACATTATTGAATGCGGTTGTGCTGTGCACGTTGTCAGACGGGAGCTGCATTAAGACCGGATAGCGTATGCTGGATAAAGAATAGCGCGGTCGCGACCCCACCCGCGAGATTCCCGTTAAAGAAGCATTAAGCGATTCCCACCGGGTCGCGCATCGGAAGTGATCTCTCGCTTCCGCAATTACGCAATCATGCTTGATTCCATTATCAATCCGTTATTTTGTTGCGTTAGAATATTCCGAGTATACTTACAATTAGTCCAATATTTGTCTTTAGATTCTCCTTATGGTGACTGTTATAATGAATTCCCAAAAATGATCCCATAAGAATTCCTAGATAATTTTAAGCAATGTAAAATTCGTATACTAAGAAAAATGTTTGATTTCGATTAATTAAAATTCTGGTTAAAAATGGACGAATTATAGAATTTTCTAATTCGTCCATTAAATCTACTACACTGAAAAAAATGCATGTAATTTTACATGGAAATTACATGTTCATGACTGGAAAATTGTCTAAATATGATTGGAAATTTATAATTTCCAGTAAATTTCCAAGCATATTTATGTAATTTAGATAATTTTCCAGACATGTAATTTCCACATGTAATTTCCATGTAAAATTACATGCATTTTTTCCAGTGTAGAATTCCGGTTTACGGAAAGAATAATTTTGCTGAAGTGTTCAAAAATTTAGTCAGATATTCAGATCATTGAAATAATTATGTAGGACGCACTAAGTCGCGATTGCAAGTATTTAAGTTGCAATTGCGCTCAAGGTATTGATATCCGATTCTCTTCGATGAATTCGATAGCATGGAAAGCACACCGGTCATTCGGAACAGGAATATCCTAGTCAGTAACTTGTGCGCGGCCGCGTGGCAGTGCACGTGAATGTGGGTTAGAATGCGGTAGGGTAACCAAGCCACGACGAGTGCAAGCAAGCAGGCAAGCAGCTGACGCGGTAGAATCAATATTCTCACGTGTACGCGTCTACATATCTACATATATAGTACACGCACGGTCCAACCCGCGTAAACGGCGTATACATGATGACCTGAGAAAGCGATCATTAGCAGCAACGACGATTAAAATAATTTGGAGTTTCAGAGTACGATGTAACCGATATTGATTTCTCAACGATCACATTACGGATATCAAACACGTAGTAATTACTCTGATTGATTTCGTAACAAATATTGGAGTTTATATCACCGTCTTACATAATATCATCTTTATTTATCTTTGTTTTTTGACAAATTTGAGATTTACTTCTTTTCGAAAGAGGTATTTAATTAAGAGATCATCGAGAATTAAAGAACTTTGAGAAATTGAACTACGAGAGCAAACCCTTTTTCCTGATCAATTCTTTTTGAAGGGAATACTCTTTTATTTATTTGAATGATTTAAAAAAAGAAATATTGAGCTCAATTATCACTGTAATTCTCTGTTTGCAATCATATTTTTACTCCTTTCATCTCAAGTCTTTTTTATTATTTTAGGCTTTCAAAAAATGTGAAGAAAATTTCAAAGTTATTATACTTTTTTTAACATCTCTTTACAATATTGGTACATTACAGTACCAAATAGTTTTTACATTAAGTCTCCTCTTTATTTGGGAAAAATTTGAGAGTGAAATTTCACTTATGTTTTGCTTGTATTTCGCTTAAAAAAGATTCAAATTATAGACAGGAGATTAAATTGGTGATAAAAACATATCTATTATATCTTCTCAACCTTTGTATATTTCTAGGAACGTATTATCAATTCGAAGTACATAATTATCGACATTCATACAAAAAGAAATCGTAGTATACACAATGTGTGTATACTACGTTATTTTGAACATATGTTGAAATGATCATTAATTCGAATTAATCTCGCTCGGTTTTACGCGAATTATTTTTATCTATCGGACAATGACGGAAGTCATTGGAATTTGCTTTACGATAAAAGATTTATCAGTTTTTTACCGAGAAACACGTTCATCGAAATACGCCGCGTTCGATGTACCACTGGCCACATGGTCATCGAGATAAGAAATCGCAATCTTTTCTCACCCTGCTCGAGCAAGTAAATAAAAAAATCCTTTGCGATAATCGCTATCGT